TGTGTTGGCCCCGCCGATCTATAGCAGGTGGGTCAGAAGCACAGGTGATAACCTGGGCTTGCAATTGGCACCTAAAGTGTGTTGTGTGTGTGTGCGGGGGGCAGTTTTGTAGAACTGATTCCTTAACCTGTGGAACTTAATGCTATCTCCGGGTAGACAGTGTCAGAACTGAGTTAAACTGTAGGATGCCCAGCTGGTGTTGGAGAATCGCTTGGTGGTATGTGAATAACCTCTCTCCCCACATTGAAATTGGGTGTAGAAATGTTATTAGAGGGTTAGAAATTCAACATGAATTCTGGGGGAACACAATCCAATCCACACTAAATAGTATTTGGCAATTTTCAGGCAAACATGTGGTTTTGATTTGCATTTCCCTCATGATTAGTGATGCTGAGCATCTTTTCATGTGCGATTGGCCACTTGCACATCTTTGAAGAAATGTATATTCGGATTCTTTGACCATTTTTAATTGTTTTTTCCTTTTGTTGAGTGGCAAGAGTCCTTTATATATTACGGATACTAGACCTTTTTCAGGTATGATTTATAAATATTCCTTCCAACTCTGAGGGTTTCCCTTTCACTTTCTTGGTAGTATCCTTTGAAGCACGAAAGTATTTAATTCTGATGAAATACAGTTGATCTACTTTTTCTTTGGCTGCTCGTGATTTAGATGTTACACCTAAGAAAACACTGTCTAACCCAAGGTCACTAAGTTTACTTCTGTTTTAAGCTTTGCTCTGAGATTCAAATATGTATAATGCAGAATACACGTGAAAGGCCTTTTTAAGGTCCTTGTCTGAGCACAGTATCCATCTTCTGTCGTCTCCCCAAACCTACCCAGTAGTTCCTGGGAACTCTGGAACCAGCTCAGGGGGCCTTGCACATGCTGCGACCTCCACCGAGAATCTCTACCCACTCGCCACCCTCCGTTCACGCCTCCCTGCCCTTCCTTCAACTGATTTCAATTTCATTTCTGCAGAGAAGCCTTCCCGACCTCCCTCACGAGTCAGGGCACTCCTCCCCCGGGAGTTCACATGATACCAAGTTTCACATACCCCTCCCCTGCCCTTACCATATTTGTAATTTTATGTTTATTTGTGTGGCTATTTAACGATTGATCGTCTCCCCCACTGGAATGAATGCTCCATGAAAAGAGGTACATGCCTGTCTCTTTGCTGACCATATTGTCTTCAGTGCCAAACACAGCACCTGGCACATACTAGGCACTGAATAAAACATTTACTCAATAGATGGGTAAATACAGTTCAGGAGAGTGAAACAAAGCATCGTGTGCAAGGATGTTTTAGGGAAGAGGAAGGAACACAAAGGTGAGTGAGGGAAACCAGAGAATGCCTCCTGGAATAGGAGACTCCTTAAGCAGGAGTCTGCAAACTGGGTATACGAACCTCGGGACAGTAAGATATTCTGTGGAGGGCATGGGGACTCTGAAGACAATCGATTTCAGACCCTCTGCTCTTTCCCAAATGGCCCTGATCTAACAGACTGAGAAAAGGCCTGTGATCTCCCCACTACCCCACCC